AAACACCAATAAAAAGAAGCCACCAAGCTGGACAAGCAATTAAACAAAGAAGATACAAAAATTAGGAAAATACCATGGCAAGGATAAGACAATAGACAGCAGTTACAAATATCAGTGTAAATGCTCTCAATGCACCAATCCAAAGAAGTAGCAGAATGGATCAAAAACCAAGATCCAACAATATGCTGCATATGAGAAACACATTTAACTCACAAAAAAATTATAGAATAAAAGTCAAAGGATAGAAAACAATATTCCATGTGGCAGGATCCCCCCCTCCAAAAAGAGGAGGAATAACAAGTCTATTTGCAGACAATGTGAACTTCTAACCAAAACTAGTCAGAAGAGAAAAAATTCACTAAAGACATGTTAAGAGAAAATTAGAAAAAAAGAGATGATAATCATAAACATATACACACCAAATAACATTGTACCCAACTACATACAACAAATATTGACAGACATGAAAAATCAAATAAGCAATAACAAAATTGTAACATGAGACCTTAACACCCCATAGTCACAGACAACCTGACAAAAATATCAACAAAAAAATATCAGAACGAAACTAAAACTGTGAACAAAAGGACTTAGATGTCTACAGAGTATTGAACCCACAACATCAGAAAATATATTCTTCTCACTTGCACACAGAACATTCTCCAAAATAGACCACATACTAGCCTACTGAACATGCTAAGTAAATGATAAGGAACTGAAATTATCCTATGCATAACATGACCATAGTACACTGAAATTAGACATCAACAGCAAAAGAAACCACAAAAACTACATTAATACCTGAAAATTAAATAATACTCCTAAAAATTAATGAGTCACAGAAGAAATTAAACAGTATCTACAATTAAATAAAAGTGATATAACATACTAGAATTTATGAGACACAATGAATGCAGTCCTAAGGGAAAACTTTCTAGTGGTAATTCTCAAACCAGGAAAACAACAATCTCAAAGAAACAATCTAGTATGATCCTCCAAGTTCTAGAAAAACAAGAAAAAAATAAAACTCAAAGTTCATACAAGGGAAGAAACTCTAAAGGTAAGTGCAGACATTAATGTAACTGAGACCAAAAAATACAAAAAATCAAAGAACCAAAGAACCGAACAGTTGTTTCTTTGAAAGACTAAATAAAATTGGTAAATCCTTAGCCAACCTTATCAAAAGGAGGGAAAAAAGATCAAAACTATGCAATTAGGAATAAACAGGTGCAATCACAATTGATCCTGTGGAAATCCAGAAGATAAGAATACCTATATTGTGAATATATATTGTAATCTGAAGGAAAACACAGAAGAAATGGACAGATTCTGAGATACATAGGAATTGCCAAAAAGATTTAAAAACGCTAAATAACCCAAATATCAGTTAATGAAATTGAAAATATAATTAAAAACTTACCAACACAGAAAAGCCCAGGTCCTAATGGATTTACTACTGAATTCTGTAAGAAATTTAGAGAAGATCTAATGCCAGTATGATGAAGGGGAATCAATAGTTCTAAAGTCATCCCTGGAAGAAAGTATTACCCTGATACCAAAATCAGAGCAAGATCCAATCAAATAAAGGAAGTACAGGCCAATCTCCCTAATGAAAATAGACGTAAAATTTTCAACAAGATATCAGCAAACAAAATAAATCAAATAATAAAATTATGCATGACCATGTAGGATTCATCCCAGGTATGCAAAGATGGTCCAACATACAAAAAGTGTATCACAAAAATGATACAATCATCTTAACAGACACAGAAAAAGCACTTGAAATTGCCCAACACCCTTTCATAATAGAAACCCTATAGAAAATAAAAATATACACAATTTATCTCAATCTGATAAAAGCCATGTACAATAAATAAACTGGCAACATTCTATTAAAAGTCAAAAACTGAAAACTTCCACTATAAAGGGAGGAACAAGATAAGAATATCTACTACCATCACTCCTATTTAATATGGTTAGGGAAATATTAGCCAGAGCAATTAGACATGTAAAAGAAATAGGAGAGGGGCTGGAGAGATGGCTCAGTGGTCTAAGGCACCTACTTAGAACAAGCTTGGCAAAGCATCAGGGACCGCGGTTCAATCCCCCAGCACCACATGCCAGCCAGCCCCGCCCCCTGGTGGGCTGAGCTGGCCACACACACACACACACACACACACACACACTCTCTCTCTCTCTCTCTCAAATAAATAAAAAATAAAAAAAAAATAAAAAAAAAAAGAAATAGGAGACTTAAGGATAAAAAGCAAGAGGTTAAATTATAATTATTTGCACATGATACTCTACATAAAAACTCCAAAAACTGCAACAGAAGACTTGAAAATTTAATAATAAAATTAAGCTATGTCACTGAATAAGAGCTCAACACTCAAAAATCACTAGCATTCCTTTACACAAACAACAAACTCACTGAGAGAGAAATTATGGCAGCTACAAACTTCATAGTTGGAAAAAAATGATATATTTAGGAATGAACTTAACAAAGAGGGAAAAAGACCTATACATTCAAAACTACAGTACACTGAAAAAGAAGATTGAAGCAGATATCAGAAAAGGCAAAGATATTTCTTGTTCTTGGATAGTAAAAACCAACACTATGAAAGCAGCCATACTCCTACCATTAGTATACCTCACAGAACTACAGAAAATATTTCTAAAATTCATTTGGAACCAGAGAAGACCTAGAATAGCAAGAAGTTCTAAGCAACAAAAGTAAGGAAAGGGTAACATAATCCCTAACTGAAATTGTACTACAAAGTCACTGTAATAAAACATCATGGTACTGGAAAAAAAAAACCCTGAGGATCAATGGAGCAGATGAGAGGATATAGACATAACTATAAACACAATCATTCACCTTATCATTGATAATGGGGCCAAAAATGTTCACTGGAACAAAGACAGCCTCTTTACAGTCCCAGTAAAACTGGCTCGCCATATGCTGAAGACTAAAAGTAGACCCATGGCTACACTACACACTAAAGTCAAATGGATCAAAGACCTGAATAGTAAAACAGAAAAACTAAATCTACTGAAAGAGAGAGTAGGTAGAAATATTGGAGACATGGGATAGGCGAGAGTTACTGAACAAAAACCATACTGCACAGATAATACTTCAAATAATCAATAACTTGGATCTCATCTTATTGAAAAGTTTCTACACATCAAAAAAGTAATCACCTAAAGTAAAAAATCTCAGAGTGGGAGAAATGTTTAGTCCCTCATACAAAGGACTTCTATCTAACAAATATAAAGAATTAAAAAAAAAAATCAAGTTGTCAAAATTCAAAGACCCAATCAAAAATAGGCAAATTCTCAGATGAAGAAATATACAAGGCAAATAAATATATAGAAAAATATTCAACAGTACTGGTCATTTGAGAAATGCAAATTAAAGCAACACTGAGATTCCATCTCACTCTGGAAAGAATGGCTAGCATCAAGAAATCAGTCAGTCATAAAGACTAGGGGGGAAGAAGAACCCTTCTCCACTGTTGGTGGGAGTGTAGACTCTTACAACCACTATGGAAATCTGTGTGGAGATTCCTCAAAACACCAGTATTGGAGGTACCATTTAACCTAGCTATTCCCCTTATAAGTATTTTTCGAGAAGAACTTAAAACATCATACCACAGCAATATATGTTCATCCATGTTGCAGCAGTGCAATTTGTCATAGCTAAATACTGGAAACAATCCAAATGCCCACCAACTGAGGAATGGATAAAGAAGATCTGGTATTGTTATATCATGAAGTACTACTCAGCTATAAAGATAAACTCAAGTGTTTTATATGTAAATGAATACAATTAGAGATCACACTCATAAGTGAGATAAATCAGATGCACAAGTGTAAAAATGATATTATCTCCCTAGTTTAAGAACCTAAAAGAGTAAGTAAAATCTGAAAGGTAAAACAGATATTGTGAAAGGGAAAGAAAAACTCAAAAGTAAAGAACAACTTGGTTGAGTGAAAGGAGAAAATAAACAAAAAAGGCAGGGAGAAAAATACAAACACACACACACACACACACACACACACAAGATTATTGTACTACTAATTTCTATTGGCTTATTGAAAGTTAATGCTTAATTTTTTTTTGCTCTGACCAATTTTAGATGCTTATATCTGGTAATCTGAATAACTACTTTGAAGATAACAATATACAATATAACAACCATTGCTCAATTCCTATCATCCTTTTATTCAAATTCTGTACTGTTTCTAATTCTTTTTATTATTTTTTATTCTCTTTAAAATAAAATAAAAAGAAAAAAATCAGTGAGAGAATTCATTTCAGGTAAACCCAGAAAGCCAACAGGTTGTAAGAAACACTAAAATAACAACAATAAAAGTCCAGGTTAAAAAAAATCCTAATGACTTGCAAAAATTCTTAATCCCTTTATAACATCCTTGCTCTTAATCTAAAGTGGGTGGAAAGCCTGACAAATTTGGAAGCTACATTATTATAGATGGAAGGTTCAGGTACAGGGAACTTGAAAAACTAAGATTCACTATCTATTTAATAAATGTAAAAAGGATACAATCCCAATATTCTAGTTTTATACTAATTTACAATCTAAGTATACTAACAAAATTTCAACTTAAATGTAACCCAAAAGTACAGATTTTATAATCTATTTTCAAAATACAGAATTCACTAAATATAGAAACCATGAATTACTGAACTACAGAAATCATTTAAAGGGTATAAGCTTTTTTTCAACCCAGGGAAAACTACTGACCTGCATAAAAATTTCAGTAATTTAAAATATTCTACCAGGGTAAAGAGAATGGAAAATGAGTTGATAGTCTTAATCAATACAGACAAAGCTCCAAATATCAATTTCATTTCAGTAACTCTGTTTCTGTTAAATTATAAAAAGAAGGAAACAATCTGGGAGTCAAAGGATGTGTGAGAAAGTGCACTATTTCTGTTTAAATGGGACAATTAGGAAGACACCCACACACAAACTCACATTGCTCCATTGGTATAGACAGTATCACTTCCTTCGACATACTGCACCTGAGCGGGGTAGACATGTTGTACCTGCTGTACAGTCTGTACCTGCTGTACCTGCAAAACAAATATTAGGACACTGGTGAGTGGTAGACATGAGAGAAATAATATACAGTGTTGGTTACCCACTTCAGGGGTTCCTCTACTACACTTATACACATGAGAATGGCTAATTTCAATACTATGTTATTTATGCTGAATAAATTTTGCAACATATTTTATTTTTTTTTACATCAGTTATTTTATTTTAAAGAAAAAAAATAAAAACAATGGTACAAAATCTCAAAACAAGATTTTAGGAGTAACAATGGTTAGTACATTGTGTATTGTTACTGCCAAAGTAGTTTCTCATATTACAAGATATAGGCAAGAAATAATAAATAAACAACATAGGTCCAAACCTCTTTTTTTTAAAAATCAACAGAAAATGGAAATCCATTTGCAACATTTTTGTAGGGATACATGCTTTGCTTCCTATCATAGAGCTTCTAGGATACGCCTTCCCACTAAAGCCAGTTAATTAATTAAAATTAATCAATTAAAATTAATCATTTTAATTAATTTTGAGTTTATCCTTTTAAACTTTTCTTGGAAATGTAAGCAAATATGTGTGAGTGCACACACAAATACCTATGTGTGGATACACATACACACATAGCTTTTTCAGGTAAGCATATATGTATTGCTTACTCAGACATTAAAAAAAGCAGTACATTACTCTGAAGAGGCTGTGGCAGGAGGATCACCACAAGTTTGAGGCCATCCTGGACTATATAGGAAGTCCTTGTCTAAACAAACAAGCAAGCAAGCAAACAAATGGTTCTTGTCTATACTAGATTACAGCAAAAATTTGTTCAAAGTGATTTGCATAACAACATACAAATATAGCAGTACTCATTACTCACTAAACACATTACTCTCAACCTTGTAAAGTAAAACTGTTGAGCATTCCTCTTCAGGTCATTGTACCATAAAATTATGAATTAATTAATTTCTTTTTATATAGAACACTGGATAATTTATTAAGTGTGAAACTCAGAAATGATATAAAAATTAATATTCTTACTTAAAAACTTCTAAAGTACATTATGAACTTATATGTGTGTGTGGAGAGGGAAAGAGAAAGAGAGAGATAATGAGAATAAATCAAACCAAAACAAAAAAAATTGAACACTTGAAATTTAACACGAAAAAGACATTATATTTTTAAGAGTAATAAGTATTTTTATGGAACGTACTATTAAATTAAAATTTTGACAACATTGGGTTGGTGATAACTGTTTAGACATAACACCAATGGTGTGACCTGAGAAGGAAAGAATTGATAAGTGTGGATTTCAGACGAGATCGAGCGTGTTCAGGGTGGCATGGCTGCAGACAATAAGCTTGGATTTCAATAAAATTAAAACCTTCTCCCAAATAAAATAGATTTAAAATACTGAAAAGATAAACCACCAGATGAGAAAAAAAAATCCTAGCAAACAATTATATCTGATTAGATAAATTTTCTAAAACTTGATAAGAATTATTAAAATTAACAATAAGAAAATGACCATGCCAGCCCCACCCCCAGGGCACACTGAGACAGCAAGTGAGAATGGTGTGCATGGGGGTGCACACCTGTAATCGCAGCTCTTGGGAGGCTGTAAACAGGTGGATCACTACAAATCTGATCTAGTAGTGAGACCCTGAACACCCTGTAGACCCTTCCCTAAAATAAAATAAAATAAAATAAAGAAAAGAAAAAGAAAATGAGCCACTCAGTTACAGAAAGGGCCAAAGATCTTCAGGGATACGTCACAAAGACATACAGGTGCTCATATGCATATGAAAAGATGTTGCACCTCATGTCATCAGAGAAAGAAAATCAAAACAAGAGTGAGATATCAAAATCAAGAATATCCAATCAGAATGGCCAAAATTCACAAAGACAGTAGCAAATAATCATATAGATATAGAAAAAACAGAATTCACATTCATTACTGGAGGAAATGTAGACTGGTACACATATTCCGGAAGACAAACTGATAGCTTCTTCTACAACTGAACATAGATAATACAGTCATGCTTCCTAATATTTATCCAAGTAGTAAATTCATGATAGAATACACATACATGTAGATAGCAGCTTTATTTATAATTACCCAAACTTGGAAGCAACCTAAGTAGGCAAATAGATAAATTAAATATTCAGAAAATGGAGTATTATGCAGCATTAAAAAGAAGTGAGCTTTTAAAGATATAAAATGACTCAGAAAAACTTAGATGCATATTGCTATGTGAAAGAATCCAATTTTCAAGGGCTACAAACTGTATTCCAACTACAATATTCTCAAAAATGAAAAATTATAGACACCCTAAAAAGATCACTGGGGCTTGATGGTACGGAAGAATGAAATAGCACACACAGATTTTTTTAGCAGTAAAATTAATGATCTCTCTCTCTCTCTCTCTCTCTCTCTCTCTCTCTCTGATTCTTGTATAAACACATTACCGACCTCAAGAACAAACTCTAATATAAATTAAGAACTCTGAGTAGTAATAATATGCAAATATAGGTTCATCATTTTGAACAAATTTTTGCTGTAATCTAGTATATACAAGAACCATTTGTTTGTTTGTTTGCTTGCTTGCTTGTTTGTTTAGACAAGGTCTTCCTATGTAGTCCAGGATGGCCTCAAACTTGTGGTGATCCTCCTGCCCCAGCCTCTTCAGTGTTGGGATTACAGGTATGATGCCCCATGCCTGGGTAAACAAGTATGTTTTTAAAAATTTAAAAAATTCAAAATGTGTATTATATAATACATATAAATATATCAACATACTTTAGTTTAATTAAAAACTAATAGTAAAATAAAATAAAACTGAGCAAATATTTATAATCTTCAAATGGAAACATTCCTAAATATATGAGTCAGAAAACAAAAGCACTAGTCATATTTTAACTAACAAAAAAATACAAATGTGTTGGGCAGACACCAATATAAACAAAGTTCAAAAACTCAAAAAAGATGCTGAAGCACATGGATTACAGCATATTTAGCATAGTATCCTGCATACAACTGGCTACTATAAATGAGTAAGAGATAAAAGAAATAGAAAATGGGTACAGTATATCAGTAAGAATGTTGCAAAATTAAAATTACAAAAATTAGATGCAGATTTCAGAAGTAGAATACTTAAATCAGAGAATTTCAAATTGAAAGATAATTATCATTCACATTAGAATTGTAAGTTACCAAAGAGAATGTATTAATCATTAACGATTTAAGAAAATAGGCATACTTTATTATAAAATGAGAAATAATTTTCTTCAGATAACATTGGTCTTCAGATAAATTTGGAAGGTAGTTTATAAAAAAGCATATCACTTGACATGTTTGAATTATACAGGAATATTTGCAAGTTTAAAGAGTGGTGAATAATATTTTTTCAAATATAGTTTATAAGAATAAAAACCTAGAAGGAAGCACCATAATGCCTACAAAAAATGGAGTCAAATGAATTGCAGAAAATCATTCCATCAAATATATGGTTGATATTAAAAGAATAAAGTATGATTTATATACATTTTAATAGCAGGATCCCTAAAAAATTACCAAGTAAAAAAGTATCTTGCAGAATACTCTTAGTGTGATTTGATTTGTTTAGATATAAAAGTAAATTTATGTATACAACTATATCTCAAATGTGGGTATGCACATATAAATGCAAACCAGCATATGAATATACATACAAACTTATACAAAAATTTGCCCACACTGGGACCAAACTTGCCATGCTTCTGCCTCAGCCTCCTAGAACGCTGGAATTACAGTTCTGCGCCACTATCCAGGCTGGGTAGTAATTGCTTTGAGTGTCATGAGAAGAGGTAGAGAAGGGAGGGGTCCACCCTCTTTATTGTGCATGTGTACACTGCTCTTAGAATTTTAAAATGTGAACTAAGACATTATGTGTGTAAATAAAAACAACTTCTGGACACACTGGAGTAAATACCACCCAAAACGTCTTCCCACTAAAACCAAATAGAAAACAGGAAAAAATATGTAGAATATAGTAATTTAGTTGCTCAACAACAGCACCATAAAACTGGAATTCTCAGGAGAAGAGAAATCAAGTGGAAATTGCCATGATCCCAGCTGCTAACCTGTACACATTTTCTGCGCTTCCAGAGCAGGAGGAGACATAAAAAGGAGATAGAAACTGGAATTGGGAAACCTTTAGCTAGAAGGCAGGTCACATTTGGGGCAGAGAATCAGAGACGGACTTAGGTAGTAAACTAAAAGCAGAATTATGAACAGAGATCTCTCTGAATCTGGTGGAATACACTAAGCTGCATATCTGCAGAAGTCATAGATACTCAGGTTCCTAAAAGACTGAGAGCATTCTGTAGACACACCAAACGGCTGAGACCTCCTTAGTCAAACAGCTGAACCAGCTCTAAAGTGAAGAGCACACCAGGAATGTGCCATGAAGTTAATGAGCCTTGGGCATCAAGCTGATCACAACAAACTTAACTTCTTTCAAAAAGATGTTTAAAGGCAGACAGCAATGTATAGACATAAAACTCCATACAAGTCAGAATGCCCAGTATCTAATAAAAAGTTAAATATGTATAACTAGAAGAAAAAAATTAATCAAAGTTGGAAATGTAACTCTATAGTTAAAAAGAAAAAAAATAATAGAAACATATCTAGAAAGAACTGACATGAAACAGAGACTTTAACATGGGTAATATATAATTTATTTTATTTTTCCCATAATTTTATTGAGAAACAAATTGCAATGAGACAGTTTCAAACCAAACTGGTAGGACAGTTTCAATAATTAACACACTGTATACATTCTTCCTAGTGGTTAATTGCTGTACAAAATGTGGACTTGATATCCTATTTACAAACACCATTAGAACAAATCCCTCTATTCATTAAGAGAATGCAACTATATATCTATCCTAACCATTTTGAATACACAGATAGAAAATGGACATTAATCTGTATCTCCTTTTTTTTAGTTCCGTTATTTGAATCTTATAGGTGTGTTAACTCTGCAAAATA